TGACAAAGGTATGTAAAATTGAGTTAGGTAGAGCAGATGGCGATTGCTTGTTTCACTGTCTCTATTAACATGAAAATTGGGGAGTGTTGCATTAAACTTGCAGAAGTCATGTTCAGGACAGACAGACATGATTCCTCACACAAGAGTTAATAGATGTGTAGAACTTGTTACAGGATGTTGAGAGTGTTACAATTCAAAGGGGGACTAGGTAAGAGAAATTCAGCGACAGAAACTATGTCAGTACTAGGGTTCTTCCCAGACTACCTCCCCTGCAAGCATGTGTTGTTCGTAACTGTTGCCACCACCTCTGCTGCTTTGCAGCACAACAACAAAAAAAACTCTTTCAATGACCTCCAGCACCCTTTTATGAAAAATAGCCAAATGATCCCAGGAGGCAATACATGGTGTGTGAGGGTCAAAAGGTCAAAACTGTTTTGGGTTGTGAGTTTGGGAACTGTTTACTAATATTGATGAGGGAATTACTGGTTAGTGCTCTTGCTGAGAAACTAGGACAACAAATGGCAGAAACTGGGGAGGAGGCTATAGCTACCCCCCCCCAAACACTAAAGGAGACAATAAAAGTAGAGACCAGTCTCTGAAGAGCATCCAAGAAGCTAGAGGATGCCATATTGCGTTCACCTGGCTGAACATAAGCCTTTGAGAGCTTCAGGGTAGCTGCTAATTCAGGCTCTGCAGGCACAGTCAGTCTCTGTTGCTTGTTGTAAGAGGTCTGGTGTATCAGAAGCCCGTCCCAAATTCTTTGTTGTTACCCTCAAACTTAACTTTTACCAGTTAATAAATTGGCTTGATTATTGATATTTTTGATATTTATACTCTGTTGCCACCCATTTTTTTCCCCTATGATAGATTTGAATAATCCTATGTCGTCTTAGTGTTTAAAATGGGTGTTTGGCCCCCAGGAGAAACATGTCTTTCAATAAGACCACAATGCTTGTTTATTTTCTTGTACACTTGCAATGGTGTTAAAAACCTTTCCAGTATTCATCCAACAACAAAACACTAGAGGACATGATGATTAAGTGCCTAGTGACTATGCTAGTACTTCTGTCACATTAGCCGCTGTTAGCCACATGAATTAGAACATTAAATGTATTATTACATGTATTTGAAAACTTTATACAGCCAGTGTCTCTCACAACCTGCTCCCACACTATGGGTAATGTAAATGAACATCGAGAAGGAGGACTGACAGTTGCTTTAGATGCGGCGTCTTGTGTGTGTGAGCAACAGGTGGAGAGAGATGGGACTTCCCTCAGTTCTTGTCTGTTTAGGGAATGGAAGTGCATACTACAAGGTATCTTTGGGCAATGGTAAGTTGATTAAATGGGGATGATAACTAGTTCAAAAACTCTGGTGTATTTACTTCAAAATTATGAACACACAAATGTTGGTTAAGAAGATTCAGAATTGCTTAATTTTGAAATGAAGAGAAATCATGTTTATTGTGGATGCACCCTAGTTATTTTAAATGCATACTACTTTTATTCTCATGCAAATTTTCTTTTCCTTTTCAGCATTCCATGGATTTTTTGCTCTTTCAGTTTGGCCTTTGCACTTTTAAATATGATTACACAGAAGAAAAGTATGTGATTCTCTTATTCCTTTTTTTTTTTAATTGAGGAATTTATGAAGTAATATTGATAAGCTGTATGATGTGCAACTCCTCTTTTTCACAGGTATATAATGAAGTCATTTAATTTCTATATTTTTCCAAAACCCTTTAACAGAAGTTCACCAGATGTCAAGTTTGTCTGTCAGGTTAGTAGAAAAACAAGTTTGTTTTTATTTGGTTATGGTATACTTGCAGCAAACTTCTAAAAAATATTTTCAGGTAAACTCTACGTTATTGTAGAGGGAGAAGTGGTTAGTTGTTTTAACAGCTTAAAAAGCAGATAAACCTAAGTTTCTGGGGTTTGTTTTTTTTTTTTCCTTACGGAAGAAATAAGCATCAGTTAAGAGCAATCCATAAAAATGAGCTTTAAGGCAATGTCTTTGACCTCAGTTTTTAAATCTTGTTGCATGTTACATTGTGTGGTTTCAGGAATGGGAGATAATGTTGCAAGCCTGGCAAGATGATTCTGTTTGTTTGGGTTTATTTTATTTTTTTATTTCCTTTCTTGTCTGACTTCCTGCTCCCTTGCTTTTTCTGTTTGATCTATCTGCTTATCTCACTTTCACTTCTTCCCAGGCTATTGCCAGCATTTTTCTGGTCTCAGATTTGTTCTCCAGAACCATGTAATTGCTTTCTTTAGTTTCCTCTCTCCACATAGCTTGTTCTTTCTTCTTTATCCCTTTAGTGTATTTATTGTTCTTTCACTTTATGGAATTTGAAAATAAATAACAAAAGTAGCATAGCCTAAACTCTCTGTGGCTTCTTTAGGGTCACAAACTTGGTTGCTCTTGACTTTGGACCTAGTAAAACTTCTTAAGACGTGTGAAAATAACTGAAATGATCTTTTTATGCCAGAGATACTCTTGCCAATTGTAAACCTATTTTCTTTTGTTGCAGAGTTCAAGTATAGATTTTTTAGCAAACCAAGGATTTGATTTTAATAAAGTTTTTCGCAATGGTGAGTTGGGTTTTTTTTTTTTCTTTCAATGTCTGCAAAGTTTATCATTACATCTTTCTTCATTTTCTGCAAAACAAAAAAAGTGGCCATTCGTGATACTCTCTTAACACACACTGAGGTTCTTAGAATTATTCTTACCTGACCTACAATTATGCTGATAGTTATTCCCTTTCAAAAATTCATTGTATAGATTCAACAGAATAGAATTCTTAGGTGCTTGGTTGTTTATTTTTGTTTGCTGGCTAAACATAAATAGATAGATTAACAAGTTATGTAGCTGTGTAATGGATCAGTAGTGACATTTTGGAAAAAGTATCAGTGCATTCTAATAGGTGCTGCTGCAGTCTATTAAGTTAATGCAGATGGGGAGGAAGAAGAGTGCTAAATGTTTTTGTTATTGTGATCTACAGCTCTGCAGTCCTCAGGCTTGTGCCTTGTGCAGATGAGGCATATAGTTCTTAAGAGTCCAGTGGTACCAGCTAATTTGGCAAGTGCTGGAAGGAAGCCTGTATGCACACAGTTAAAGAATGGGGTCTAGAACAGATGACTGAAAGGGAAGGATGTGTTTTGAGCCTTCAGAGGTATAACACCAGCAAATACTTGGTTAATAATAAGTCTTTGCTAAATTATACATCTCTAATTTGTCTCTAATTATGATGAGCTTTTAAATGTGTCTCTTTTCTTTAGGAATTCCATATTTAAATCAGGAGGAAGAAAGACAGTTAAGGGAACAATATGATGAAAAACGTTCTCAGGCCAATGGTGCAGGATCTCTGTCGTACATTTCTCCTAATGCCACAAAGTGTCCTGTAACAATTCCTGAAGATCAGAAAAAATTCATTGAGAAAGTAGTGTAAGTAAAATTCTTTAATATCCTCTGATATTGTTGAAAATAAAACATAAACAATAGTGACACGTTTGTATGTT